CGATATTTCATACACTTTTCTAACACAAGTGTGCAGTATTTCTTCTGGATACTGAATTACATCTGCATAATGTTATGAAAATAGATATCTCATTATCAGGATCCTTACAAGCCTGATTCCTCAGAAAGCAAAGCACATCCTTCCTGACATTAAAGATTCTTCTGGTCAATGCCTGCTTTATTCTGGTAAAATTTGAAAAACAATTAGTAAAATTTGGTAAAGTGTGAAAAACAGCGATAATCACTAACACATTATTCAGAAAGATTATTCTATTGAAGCCATTTTGAATGCAAAACATATTCTACATAGTGTATTACGAATTGGCTTTTAAGATTCTACATGATTTGAGGCTCTTTTATTTTGAAATAAACAGAATACATTTACCGTACATTTGGTTGTCATTTCAAATCTTCTCAGACTGTTACAGCTGTCTTCTGCCACAAATGACATATTCCCTCTTCCCCGGTTCACTGTTGATGGGTGGCTGCCTCTGCTCATATTCTATTTTTATTTGACCTGAAGCCAATTGCATATATTCCAGTGGACAGAAATGGACCTCGCATGACTTTCATTCCTGTTCCTTCAAGCTGGTCTGCTGAAATGATTGATATTTCCCAATGACTACCACACTGAAGATTAAGTCCTTTCCATTTTGCTTGATTTACACTGGCTTTCTCAGATTTGGTCTTGGATCGCAAACCAGACAGAGCCCCATTATTTAATAACTAAAGCAGTGGAGTGGCTAGAAGTATTGTTGCAAGACTACATCCTGCTTTTTGGAGATGCCATTCTGATGCAAAGGAGTCTAATGGTTCATTACCAGTGAAAGCCCATTGTTTTCCTGGTATACCTGCTGTATTTTAAAATGTATAGGTTGGTGGCCTCATTTGCACTGTTTAAAAGAATAGAAACCTTTTCAGCTTTTCAAAAAGATAAATCCTAGAACAACAGGCAGGAGTCCATCAGCAAAAACAGCACAGTCTACATTCATAGATGAACTCATTACAAAGGAGAGAGAGACAAGGTGGGTGAGGGTAATATCTTTTATGGGCTCAATTTCTGTTGGTGAGAGAGGCAAGCTTTCCAGCTTACACAGAGCTCTTCTTCAGGCCTGGGAAATGTATTCAGTGTTACAGCTAAATACAGGGTGGAACAGATTGTTTAGCATAAGTAATTAACACACATTTCAAAGGACCATTCAAGGTAAAGTGGCCTATTAACACCTCTGCAGTCATGGGGGCAGGAGGGGCAGGAAAGCTGGGGCGGGGGGTCTTATGGATTATACATTGTTGTAATGAGCCATACACCAAGTGTCCATGATTTTTAGTGTCCAGCAAAGTTATGAATTTAAGCTCCCAGGCTCATCTTTTGAAGGTGTTGTGCAGGTTTCCTTTGAGGATGAGGACTGAGAAGTCAAATTGTTTACCAACAGGTGATATGGTGTTTCTGTCTTCTATCATTTTGCTGTATGAGTTAATCTGAGTGTGTAATGATTGTCTGGTTTCACCCACATAGTTTTTATTGGGGCAGTTAGTGCACTGGATGAGGTACATGACATGTCGTGATAGGCATGTGTAGGACCCAGGGATCTTGAAAGGTGTGTTGTGAGCGCTGTTGATCATGGTAGAAGTGGAGGTTTGTGTGCAGGTTTTGCATCTGTTGTTCTGGCAGGATCTTCCGTAAGAGTGCCATGGCCAGACATGATGGGTTTGCCTGGGTTCCCTTGTTTGTGTATTTTGGGAAGTGTAGAAGCTCCCTGGGGTGGCTTCATGGGGAATGAGATTGTAGAGTTTCTCTTGGAGTTGTTTTGGGAAGGATTTGATGATATCCTTAAATTCCTAAGTAAATTGTGGTGTGGTGTCTTCTTTGAGTTCTTTGTAATAGATGGTGTGGGAGAGTTGTTGGTTGGCTTCATTATCATAGTCATCATGGTTGAGGACTATGATGGCATCTCTTTTGTCTACTGATTTCATTCCGATCTGGTGGTTGGATTTCAGGGACTGTTTAGCTGTCCTCTCAGCAGTGAAGAGATTGTGGAGGATCTGATGTTTGTTAAGGATTTCACAGTCAATTTTTTTCCAGAAAGTAATCAATGTAATGATCAGAGCATGGTTTCATCTGCTGTGGAGTGTCCATTCAGAGGGTTCTTTTTTCTTCTGACTGTTGGTGAGGACTTTGTAATTGTGGACAGTGTCGTCAACTCAAAAGCTTGTCTCTCTCACCAACAGAAGTTGGTCCAGTAAAAGATATTACTTCACCCACCTGGGACCCCTAATGTCCTGGGACCAACACAGCTACAACAACAACACTGAATACAACTTATTACAAATAGCATTTTGCTCAGGCATCTTGGTTGTCCAGCCTTATGATTTCTCTCAAGCAATAGGCATGCTAATGTCCATAGAGTTATTACCATATGGTTTAATGGAAATAGCACTTTCTGCTATTGTCTGCATTTCTGATTTCCCAGACACAGATTGAGATTTTTTTCATATAAAATAAATAAAGGCAAAAATCTCAATTGACAGGATGTTGAGCATAATTTGTTCCTGTGTACACTGACTGCAGAGTCAAGGTCAGCTTTGTATTAGTTGATAATTAAGGTCATGCATGGGCGGCGCATATCGTAGGCTGGGGAAGGCTATGCTGGGCGCTGCCACCCGCCTGCCCAGTGCCCTGGGGGATGCATGCTGCCCACCTAGCGCTCCAGGGCTGGGTGCGCTCGGGTTTCAGCAGGGGAAGGAGGGTGGGAGGGACAGGGCCTCAGGCAGAAGGGGCAGGCCAGGCTGGGGGCTCGTTTCCCTGAACCCATAGTTCACCCACCACGCGTGAGGCCATGTTCTAATTCAATATACTTCTCCAGTGAAGACAAGCCCTAAAACAAAGGTCTCAAAAGGCAAAGAAAACTTACTAGGGCAGAGACAAATATAAATGAAACTAAGCAAAGAAAAATGTTGCTGAATATATGGGAAAACCTCCTAATATGAGATCTATTATGTTGTAGAATAGTCTTCCAAAGAAAATGGTGGAATGACCAGTCTTTTGGTCAATTAAAGTTGGACTAGACAAAGCATTTGGGGACAGACTGTAAGGAACAAATCCGCACTGGAAAGAGTCTAGGGTTACCATACGTCTGGATTTTCCCGGACAAGTCCGGCTTTTTGGGCCTCAAATCCCCGTCCAGGAGGAAATCCCAAAAAGCCGGACATGTAGGGAAAATAGGGAGGGAGGGGTCGTGGGGCTTGGGTCCGGGCCGGAGCCGCTGGGGCTGGCAGTGCTCAGCCGGGGGCCGGAGCCGCTGGGGCCAGCGGTGCTCGGCCAGGGGCCGGAGCCGCTGGGGCCGGTGGCCGGAGCTGCTGGGGCCGGCAGTGCTCGGCCAGGGGCTGGGGCCGCCGGGCCCAGGGCGGGCCGGAGCCGCTCGGCTGGAACCAGGGCCGGCGCCCCAGGGCCCAAGCCGAGCCGGGCGGGAGACGCCGGGGTCAGAACCTCTTGGCCTGGGCCGGCTGGCCGCTGGAGGGAGCCGCTCGGCCGGGGGGGCTGGACTGGGCCGCGCCGCACCTCGCCCCAGCCCCAGCCCCAACCCCAACCCCATCTTACCTGCTGCCTCCCTGTTTCAGGCTTCCTGTGAACATTTGATTCGCGGGAAGCAGGGAAGAGGGAGGAGCGGGGGGGCAGAGCATTCAGGGCAGGGAGCAGAGTTGGGCGGGGACTTTGGGAAGGGGCGGGGCAGGGGCGGAGTTGGGGCAGGGGCGGGGCCCCGTGGAGTGTCCTCCTTTTTTTAAATTAAAATATGGTAACCCTAGTGTTGCCTTATCAGTTGCTTCCATCTCTTATTTCTGTGAAAAAGAAACAATGGGATTCTGTTCTAAGGACTGATTTGGGCAAACACTTGTTTATGTCCAAGTGATCGCCCGCATCATCCAGATTCATAAAACTTTGAACTTCCCAAATCAAACTTGTGCACAGAAGCTGAATCTGTGACTATTTTAAGGACAGAGCAAGTTCTAATAAGTATTCCAGTGTCATGGGAAGTCAGCTGTTTATAATGGGCACTCTCATGAGTTGTAACATTTATCTGCAGCCCAGTGGCTTTAAAAAAAAAAAAAGTGGGGTGTGTGACATTTTCTTACCTTTGAAAAAATCAAAGAAAACCAAAGAAATTAGTTTCAGTCTGATCCTTTCAACTGGCTGCTTGTTGATCACTATAAATGAGAGCTAAACACATCAACAAGCATGTTGAAAAGGCTTTTGTAAAGCTGATTTGATACACTGATCTGAATGGTCACCAGCACCCAATTACACCGTAAAGTGATTCTCATTAGTATTGGTAGCAGAATTTACTGTAAGTGCTTTCAAATCACCATCAATTTATGCTAAAAATTAATTATTGAGTTCTTTTCCTTTGTATTAATCTGGCCCCTTACAATGCAAAGTTTGTCTGACTATTTCAAAGGTAAAATTGCCACATTTATTTTACGACCCTGTTAAGACACGTCTGTGCAACTTCTTGTACATGGTTATGGTAACAGTAATCCTTTCAGAACAAAACAATTCCATCTAAACAGAACATATAATGTAATTCAAATGGTTTTATGGAATAAAATGTATTTGAGTGGCATAGCTACACTGCATATAAAGATCCTGTGTGAGTCGTACACTCCATTTCTGCAGCCATGCCCTTCGGTGTTTATAAATGGTAAAAAATAACCGAATAAAAAAAAATGCAGGAATGAAAAACACTTGAAGGATAATTCAAAACAATCCTGTCCTTGATATATTATTTACATTATGGTGTTTGCAGAGAAGAAACAATTTGTATAATACTGTATCTGTATTAGTGTTTTAAAAGGGCACATTATTTAAGTAATACTTTTTTATTTTGGAGTATTAAGAAATTGTATCTTAGGGATATAGAACAACCTTTCTCTTTTGTGGGTGATGTATTGTAAAGGAGGAAGAAAATTTTTTAAAGGCTGAACAATTTTATTTTTTTCTTTTAGCCCTAGACCACCAATTCCTCTGTCTCTCCTATTATCAGAAGAAGAAGCATGCAAAATAATTCAATCATTCTGGAGAGGTTATCGGGTAAGAGTCAGCTATAATTATTTTGCATGATGCTGAATCTATGTGACTGTGAAGGCCCTGGAGAAAACCCTTACATAAATTTTAAGTAGCAGAGACTATAAATAACTTTTAAGACCACTATGGTTCACTGGCGTTGGATATGCTTGTATGTAAGTTGTCTAGTGGCTCAGATCTTTTCACAGGAGTTATGGCAATGCACTCTGCTTTGTTTTCTTCACAAAGACATTTACTAGGGCTGTCAAGTGATTAAAAAATTAATCGTGATTAATTGCATGATTAATTGCACTGTTAAACAATAATAGAAAACCATTTCTTTAAATATTTTTGGATGTTTTCCACATTTTCAAATATTTTTATTTCAATTACAACACAGAATACGAAGTGGACAGGGCTCACTTTATATTTATTTTTATTACAAATATTTGCATTGTAAAAAACAAAAGAAATACACCTCTACTCGATATAACATGGCCCGATATAACACGAATTTGGATATAACGCAGTAAAGCAGCGCTCCGGGGGTGGGGTGGGCTGTGCACTCCGGGGGATCAAAGCAAGTTCAATATAACGCCATTTCACCTATAACGCGGTAAGATTTTTTGGCTCCCGAGGACAGCGTTATATCGAGGTAGAGGTGTAGTATTTTTCAATTCACCTAATACAAGTACTGTAGTGCAATCTCTTTATCATGAAAATTGAACTTACAAATGTAGAATTATGTAAAAAAAACCTACATTCAAAAATAAAACAATGTAAAACTTTAGAGCCTAGAAAGTCCACTCAGTCCTACTTCTTGTACAGCCAGTTGCTCAGACAAACAAGTTTGTTTACATTTGCAGGAGATCATGCTGCCCACTTCTTGTTTACAATGTCACCTGAAAGTGAGAACGGGGGCGTTGCAAAATATTTACGTGCCAGATAAAGATTCGTATGTCCCTTCATGCTTCAAGCAACATTCCAGAGGACGTGCGTCCATGCTAGATAACAATCCAAAGCAGTGCGGACTGACACGTGTTCAGATGCCATCAGCAGAAGGTTGATTTTCCTTTTTGGTGGTTTGGGTTCTGTGGTTTCTGCATCAGAGTGTTGCACTTTTAAGACTTCTGAAAGCATGCTCCACACCTTGTCCCTCTCAGATTTTGGAAGGCACTTCAGATTCTTAAACCTTGGGTCGAGTGCTGTAGCTATCTTTAGAAATTTCACACTGGTACCTTCTTTGCATTTTGTCAAATCTGCAGTGTTCTTAAAATGAACAACATGTGCTGGGTCATCATCTGAGACTGCTATAACATGAAATATATGGCAGAATGTGAGTAAAACAGCAGGAAACATACAATTCTTCCCCAAGGAGTTCAGTCATAAATGTAATGAATGCATTATTTTTTTAATGGGCGTCGTCAGCATGGAAGCATGTCCTCTGGAATAGTGGCCAAAGCATGAAGAGGCATACGAATGTTTAGAATATCTGGCATATAAATACCTTGCAATGCCAGCTACAAAAGTGGCATGTGAATGCCTGCTCTCACTTTCAGGTGACGTAAATAAAAAGTGGACAACATTATCTCCCGTAAATGTAAACAAACTTATTTCTTTTAGTGATTGAACAAGAAGTAGGACAGAGTGGATCTGTAGGCTCTAAAGTTTAACACTGTTTTGTTTTTTAAGGCAGTTATGTAACAAAAAAAATCTACATTTGTAAATTGCAGTTTCACGATAGAGAGTATACTACAGTACTTGTATGAGGTGAATTGAAAAATACTATTTCTTTTGTTTATCATTTTTACAGTGCAAATATTTGTAATAAAAAATAATAGTATAAAGTGAGTACTCTACACTTTGTATTCTGTGTTGTAATTGAAATCACTATATTTGAAAATGTGGAAACATATCCAAAAATATTTAATAGATCTCAATTGGTATTCTACTGTTTAACAGTGCGATTAAAACTGCGATTAATTTTTTTAATTGTGATTAATTTTTTTGAGTTAATCGCTTGAGTTAACTGCGATTAATCGACAGCCCTAAAGTTTACAGAAAATTTTATTTTAGAAATATAGTCTTCCCTTGGGAGCCCTCCAAGTTTTATTTCAGCCTTTAACTAGTAGGTGTGGGATAAAATTTCCAAATTGTATGTGTGGGTGTGGAGGTGGACATGAGAAAGATTGATGGGGAAAGTAAAGAAAAAAAAGTGTAGTATAGAGAGCTGGAGAGAGAAATGAGACATAGAAGGAGACAGAATATATTTAGGAAAGATAGAGGGCACAATGTAAGGAGAGAGAGAGCAGGAAAAAGTGGAAACAGACATTGAAGACAACTTAGGAAAAGATATACCATGATCTCTTACAGGAAATAAACATAGAGCAAATCCAAGAAGGGCAAAAGAAAGTAAAACCAATAAGGGGTGTAGTAAGTAGTACTGGGTAAATTTCTTATTTGACAGTTTTCAACAGAGTTTGCTCTATAGTCGGCTTACATACGATTTGTTGAATAATAGAAGATGAATATTTTTCTATTATTCACCAGGTCTACTAGTAAATTTATATATATAAAATTTATTAAATAGAAAGTTGATTGACAATGTTACAGTTAAATACACCAAATAGAGAATAGTACACAACTGGTTACTTCCTTTAAATTGAAGGGAGCATAGGTTTGGGAGGAGGGGCATGACCTGTGAGGAGTGGTGGTACACTACCCTGGCTAGTTATACTCTTAATAAACATACCAATTTTTCAAAGCCATTACTCTTAAAGTGCTTTAGAAAGAAGGTTAAATAACATGATCTCCATTTCATGATGAAAAAAATGAGGCACAGAGAATATATATGCAGAATATTTAATTGTGTTTATAGGCAGGACTGGTAGCATGCCCAATACTTCCCATTTTAAGAATCTGTTTTTCAGTGTCTACTGACTTCGCTAAACTTTTACCATTTGGGCTGAAATCTTCCGAACAGTTCAGCCATTTCCAAGATGGAGGCTAGGGAAACATACATTGTTTTGCCAGTGTTAAAAAATTCTGGCAACCTTTTCTTTGAAAAACTCTAGCATTTTGGAGCAGCATTTGAAATTTGGCAGAGTGGAGGCCTTTGTATCAAAAATGTGCTGTTTGCTGTCCTCATAAAAATCTGCCCAAATATGGCCAAGTCAAATTTTGTCTTTGAAAAATCATAATTTGCACATAATCAATATAGACTCTATAGATTTTAGCATCTAATGTCCCTGAAGATTCTGTCTGCACAGGGCATGCACCAGCCCAGGACTGAGCAGCACCTGAAATTGCATCTCTGCAGGCTGTATCAGGTCTGGGTCCAGGCACCTGTGCTCTGAATGACCCCTGTGCTAGGCTCAGGTAGTATGAAGGAGGAAGCTGCCTGATTCAAAAGCAGAGGGGACAAGAGCTAGACCTACAGTGAGGCCTGGGAGTGAGTGGACTGGGGCAAGGAGCCTGGAGTGAAGAGAGAGATGGACACTGGGACCGGGAGTTGGGGTAGGTGAGACTGAGACTGGCTAGTCAAGGAGATTGGGACTGGGAGTCAGTTGGCCTGGGGAACATGCTGGGGAGTGGGGTGGCTGTAGGCCATGATGCAGGAGAAAGAGATGGATCAGATGAGGAGCCAGGAGGGGGTGGCAGAAACTTAGACTAGCTGGGCAAGGAGCTTGGAGAGAAGGATTTCGAGGCCTGGGAAAGAACTGTGAATGTCTGGGCAATGAAGCTGGGCTTGGAAGTCGGGGGAGAGTGGGATGCGGATGGCGAGTCCAGAGGGATCAGACTAGGACTTGCTGGACATGGAAACTGGAGTGAGAAGCCTGAGGCGTGGAAACTGGGACTCGCTGGGCGAGGAGACTGGAACTGGGATAAGGATCCAGAGGTGAGAAAAAGACAGGAGCGGGACAGACACACGTTGGAAGGAATGGGGCAGACTAGGCCATGCTTAAGGGGGAATAGGCAGAAGAGTCCGTACCTACTAGAGCACTCTCCTCTCCAGACCCTGGAATGGAGCCCAAGCTTTCTGAGTCTCACCATTTATCTATTATCAACAAGTATTTGTGAAATAGACAGGCAAAATGTCCCATCCCCCTCTATTGCTGGTCTCTACTGAGGATGACAATCTGCTATCACTAACTCCATTAGCCCAAGTAGCAGAGGTCAGTATGAATGATCTAAAGCAGGGGTCGGCAACCTTTCAGAAGTGGTGTGCCGAGTCTTCATTTATTCACTCTAATGTAAGGTTTTGCTTGCCAGTAATACATTTAAACGTTTTTAGAAGGTCTCTTTCTATAAGTCTATAATATATAACTAAACTATTTTGTATGTAAAGTAAATAAGGTTTGTAAAATGTTTAAGAAGCTTCATTTAAAATTAAATTAAAATGCAGAGCCCCCCGGACCGGTGGCCAGGACCCAGGCAGTGAGAGCCGCGGCGGCTCTGCTCCTCCCCGACTCTTCGGCTCTGTTTAAGAGCCGAGCGCTACGGGCTTTGGGCAGCCCCCAT